AAATCAACATGATCCGACGCCTGTCACCAGGCGAAAATGAACCCTCGACGGAAACTGACAAGACTGATGTACCCGACCGATATCCGATCCGAGTTCAGGATCGGTGGYGCCATTCTTGGCGGCGAGAACCACTGGAAATAGTTCGGAGCGAGTCCAATTGGTCGCACGCGTTCTCCTCCGTGGTGCAGGGGGAACCCCTGCTGAGGGTGTCCCAAATAGCTGACCTTTCAGAACCCCCTGCATCCTTGTATCTCAGGACGGACCCCCTACCTGAAAGATTTACCGAGCGGCTGTGCGATTTATCTTTTCGACCCCCACGGCCCCTACTCACGAATGAAAAAGCCTCGATACTCCTGAAAGAGGGGGTGTCGTTTCAACCCCGAACGAGGGAGTATCGGTGGGGACCGAGGGAACTGGCGCAGGCCTTTTCGGTCGAACCCTCGACCGAACCCGAACTGGACAGTGACAGTGACATGGAAAGCGAGCCGATGAGTCCGGCGGACAGCCAACTTATTGCGACGGTCCTTTCGGCGAAAACCGACAACTCTTTGTTTGGGGCCTCGCCCGATGCCAACGCGGCGGTCCCCACGGTTACGACGACGGTCTCCTTTCTTGGGGGAACCGTAGAAGTTCAGTTACCAGCCCRTGTTCCGGACGAATACAAACGCCTCCTCTTGGCGGTTATACGGGCCTATCCTGAGGCCGTCAGCATTCAGGACCACGACATAGGGCTAACCCCTTTRATACAACACGCGATTRMCACCGGGGATCACGCCCCGATACATTGCCGACCGTACCGATATTCCCTTAAAGAAAGGCAGCYGGCGTTGGAAAGGGTACGGGAATTCGAGCGGTTGGGGTGGGTCGAACCATCGCTGGGACCATGGTCTTTTCCCGTGGTCCTCGTGCCAAAATGAAATGGCTTGGTTAATGTATCGACTACCAGCAATTGAACGCCATCACTACCAAAGATGTGTATCCCTTGCCGCGAATCGATGATTTGTTAGATGCTATTGGGGCCGCTCGAGTCTTTTCCAAGTTCGATGTCTGACACGGTTTTCACCACGTCGCAGTCCGACCGGAGGACTGACCCAAACCGCCTTTGTCCTGTTTGAGGGCACGTGGCAATGGGTCCGGTATCCCATGAGAATTTGTAACGCCCCTGCAACGTTTCAGTGGGCCATGAATATGGCCTTCGCTGAGTTCGTTAACAAAACCCGACTAACCCAGCCCCTGATCAATTTCAACAGAAGGTCCGTCCAGGCTTCTGCCCGGCGGGCACTTGGCGCAAATCCGTCGGCTGTTCTAGCGTGCAGATACCGCTTCTCAGTAGGGACTTGGTCCGTTCTACAGTTGGGACATACCCACGTCTTTTCACTTCGGTACCTAACGCACTGTCCGTGAGATTTGACTGTATGACACTGACTACACTGTACCCATAAAAGAAAACTGGGCCCTTCCGGATGTGACCCTTCTTGGTCCGGGATCATAGGCAAGGTACAAAAGAAACAGGGACTTAGGTGTGTTTTAGAGGACGAGTTGGGGCTAGATGAGAGAGCGAGGTAGTGGGATGAGGGCAGAGACATAGCGTCGGTCATCTCCGATGAAACCTCCATTCCGGACTCAGGCGTCGTCCTTACGCAGCACGTGTAGCTCCCCGTAGTGCGGTTTCGTCGCCGCGACTTCTGGCCTCCACGGAATGAGTCGCTCTTTGGCGGGACACTTGTTGGGCGGCAGAAGGCGCATTAATCCATCGGCGTTACCATGCTGCCGCGTGGCACGGTGGCGGATGTCGAAGTCATAGTCTTGCATACGCACCACCCACCTGCCCAGCGTCCCCGTGTAGTCCGTGTTGTTGCGTAGGGACAGCAGCGGTTGATGATCCGTTACCAGCACGAATTTCTGGCGGTACAGATACAGTCGGATATGCTGAATCCCCCACACCACCGCCAGGCATTCACCTTTGCACGCTTCGTAATTAGCCTGCGCCTGGCTCAACGTCTTGGACGCATACTCAATGACGTGCTCCCTTCCGTCCTTACCGTGCTGAGTCAGCACCGCCGATATCGCCTGAGGCTGCCAGTCTGTGTACAGTGCGAACGGTCTTGTCGGGTCGGGGCGCGCCAACACAAGAGCACATGTCAGAGCCTCCTTCAACGTCTGAAACGCCGCTTCGCATTCCGGCGTCCAGATCAGCTGTTCCTCTTTCTTCAGCAGGTTCGTGAGGGGCTTCGCTATGCCGACGAACCCTTTGATGAAGCGTCGGTAATAGGATGCCAGCCCTAGAAAAGCCCGAACCTGGATGAGTGTGACCGGCGCCGGGGCGTCTTGAACTGCTGCCACCTTCCTCGGATCCGGTTTTAGTCCATCGACCGTGACGATATACCCCAAGAATGAGATCTCCGACAAGAAGAACTCGCTTTTCTCCAAGGCCACTTTGAACCCCGCATCTTTCAGTGCATGCAAAACCCACTCAATGTGTTCCACGTGGTACTCGTGTGTTTTTGAAAAGACCAAAATGTCATCCATGTACACAATCACCCGGGTACTATGGTCCACAAACCCGAAGGACCACGGTAACCTCTGTCCAAGATGCCAAACGGTACACAGCAGCTGGCCTAGATGAGGCTCAATACTGAAAAACAATCCAAGGCCCGACCGCGGGTCTAATCAGTGCAAGCAGGACCCTGTCCCAAACAACAAAACAAAACTGTTACAATCAATCAAAAAAGAAAAAGGAAAAAGAAACAGGAAAAAAAACACAGCAAGACAATCGTAGCCCTGTCCCTTCACACCAGCTGATGCAAGCAGAACCCTGTCCCAAGCAACAAAACAAAAACAAAACGACCCATCAAAAAAGAAACTCAGCAAGACAATCGTAGCCCTGTCCCTTCACGCCAGTTGATGCAAGCAGAACCCTGTCCCTATTCTACGCCTGTAGTCCTGACCTTCTACCATAGCGGATGAAAAAAGCGCAAATGAGCAAACAGTCTAGATACCTCAACCAGCTATAAACTAAACTTAAAACTAGGTAAAAGACCACAGAGGCATACCACCTCGCGCCGAAGGCATTACTAAGTCAAATGCTAGCCTACCAAAGGTACGACATCCATAGGGAGTGTCGGATGACAAAATGAAATTTGAAAAATGAAAATGAGACTAAACAAATAAAAAGATGAAAAATCTCATGTCCCAACATGATGAGACGAAACCAAACACAACCTGCTACATAGCAGAAAAACTTCCCCGCAGTCGTGAGGACATAGTCGACTCACTGATACAGCCAGTTATACGTTGTAGTCCAGATAGGGTCTCTGCCCACCGCGAAGCTTCTCAGGATCCTTTGCAGAAATTGCTTGGGAAGCTCTTCAGGCGGAGTTCTCACTTCAGATTCAAGATGCGCATCGGGATTTCTGCTCGTGCATTCGTATTACAGTCGATGCGATGCAGATAACTACAAACAACTGCACTCTTTTGTTTCTTACTTCCCCAAGATTGGTATATCCGCCCATTTTTGAATTCGAGGTCCTCCCTTTCCCAGATCATATGCTCATTCTTCAATGTTTGGTAACAACTCACAAAAGGTGGCAGGCTATCAACTTTCATCGTAGTACCCACGAAATCCCACGTTCCCAACCCATCATCGGTTCTAACGAGTGTAAGGTTCTCCGGGTAGCACTTTTCAAAGCTCCTTCGGATATGGTCAACTGCTGCGTGACCACCCCGAGGTTTGTTGATCAGAAGGCTAACATCATCCATTAGCCTAATGTCGAACACATGTCGTCGCAACTTTCCGATGGAATTGAGAAAGCGAAACTCAGCAAAAGCACACAATATACATGCGAGTGGGGGGCTGGTGCTTTTCCCCATAGGGATACCGACGACCTGCTTAAGCACCACCCCAGTCGGCCGTGTATAAGTACTTCTAAGATCCAGCAACACGAAGCTTCGAAGATCTTGCAAATCAATAACCCGCCAGTGGTCATCACCCGTTGTCCTACCAAAAGTGTTGCCCTTCCCTCTAGTGTTAACGCGAACGGAGGACCGACCCTTATCCAAATGATGATCAATAATCCAGTTCACAGCTGCGATGATCTCATCGTGGGGGAGCTTGTTGAACATGTCTTTAATATCATAAGACATGCGAGCAACTTCCACACAATATGAGGATTGCCTACTCACAGACTTGTTAACGCGTTCTAGTCTCGATACCAGGGATGAGACTGACTTCAAGTTGAAGTGTCAGCTCTCCGGTAAGGCGAAGAGCAAGTGTTTCAACGCCTTAGCCGCGCTTTTGCATGTCTTATTCGTGGGTTCAGAGAAAGTAGGGCAGATCGGCCGATAGCGTGAGAGATCCTTATGTTTCGGTAACACATAGGCTTCGCCAAACTTACCCCACTTATCCCATCGTGCAAATCGCAACAGTCCCTGTGCGCGCAGGTCCTCAACCATCGTCGCATGTATGGCCGTCTCCTCCTGCTGCTCAATAACATAGCCTGAAGAGCAAACAAACAGATTCATCATAGCTTCGTAGTACAACTTCGGGCAGAGCACTAAGGTTTCGCCGGGATTCCGGTCCAACGGCGTCAAGACCAGACCTGACAACTGTGCACTAAGTCTTCGGACATCTTTCACGTCGAGGTACTTATCCCCACACGCCGGTGGCGCAACCATGCACCTCTGAACTTCCGCTAGGTGGATGGCTGGAGTAGCGCCTCGCCGATTGGCCCAAGAGTCCAAGCCCAACTCCATCTCCTTCATCAGTTGGTAGCAACGATCGGGATGGGCCTGCTTCAGAACATTGTTGGCATTCAAGATGAGAGGGTGTACACCCTCGATGTCCTGCAGCCGCACCTGCACGTGGCCACCTACCTTTGGGTAGATAGAACCTGCACAAGTACAGGTTGACACGTCAGCGTGTGCAAAAGCGCGCTGGTTGTGTAATAGGTCCGCGACCGATGGGTTTTTAACCCAAACAATCCGAACCGCACTACGTGCGGTGTTCTTGATGCAGGTAGGGATGTCTAAGCACTCGATCTTATCATTCAACAACTTCCTAACCTCTACGACCTTAATACGATCATCGTACTTCAACCGGACTAAAATCCTAGAATTGATACACCACCCAAAGGACTGCTTGATAGCGTGCGTTATATGCCTTCGAAGGTAGGCTGTAGTCGAAGGACGTAGGAAATCTTTAGCTGCATCCATCAAACGTACCAGTACCTCCAGGTTGCAATCGGACAACTTCGCCAGGAGGCCGGGGTTTCGCAAGATAGAAATGAGAAATCTCTTGTCTGGTCCGGCTTTGGGTTTCCAGAGTCTTAGATGGCAAAACTCCACATCAGCGCCTTGCTCAATCCATCGCTTGCAGTCATGAAGTCGTTTCCGCTGTCCATGCACTTTCACCATAGAGTTACCAAAGGATGACTTAATCGACTTCCACCCGCCGCACCAGCTGTTGCCGCCTTGCACCAACATGTGGAAGCTTCGGCGGCCTCTCTCCTCCTGCGGCTGGAGGAATCGGAAAATGTCGACACACCACTCATCGCTAACTTCCAGCTTCATGCAAACGGCGGTCACGACTCCAGCAATTCCGGTGGTCCCAACCTCCGAGTCTACGTTACGCTGGTCATCCCTACGACTGGCTGCAACCCTCTCCCTCTTCCCTTTCCGAACACGGCAGTTTCGGTGGCGTCATTTCGGTGCTCTACCCGTAGAGCACGGGGCTCCATCTCCGAATGTAAAGTTCTTCCCAAATAGGCAATTCTTCGGTCACGCACGTGTCCACTGGTGTCAATACGTACGAATCTACCCCAAATGCTCTCCACCAGCGATATAGGTGGTTCTTCTTAAGCCCCCTACCAGAGACATACAGGTGTTCCTTCCAACGAACGTTGAGGGAACGACCAGTCTGGCCTACATATGCGGCCTTGCATATCGGAGATGTAATCAAATATACACCCTTGTCCTCACCTAAGAAGACATCAAGCCCAAAACGCACAAAAAGGCTAACCCACGACGCCGTACATTTTTGAAGCCATCGAATTTTATCTGACAGGGCTAACAACATAACAATCAAACGATAGAGTCTCTCCAGTGTAGCATCGAAGGGGATCTCCCTTCGAACCTGTATCACAACTCGACATAGCCTCCATAGTTGCCCAACGCTTCAAGGGTCCACATCTTCTTCGCCTTCGGATTTAGTGTCCTCCTCAGTTGCCGGGTCCTCAGGCGTGACAACTTCCTCGGCCACCCCCTCCCGGTCAGATCCATATGCGATCTGCGTGCGCTTGTCAGCAATAGCTTCTATCGCAGGACGGTCCACGGTAGCTACTCGCCATCCTCGCAGCAGCCCAGTGTCTAAACTAGACAGGGCAGAACACGAATATGTCTTCAGGTGCCTAGATCGTCATCGGTCAAACGAAATTATGAGATCGCCTACATACACACACATCCGACAACCACAACTACTCATCGAACAGGTCTTCACGTCATCACTGGACGCTGCCTCCAAAGCACATCATGTCAGTCAACCAGTCTCCCATAGCAGAATCTCCATGCCGGCACAACACCACACGAGTCACAGCAGTCCATAGTCGCAAAAGGTAACCATAGCAGATAACAGTGGCGAAACATCCGCGCAGTAACAGCAGCTTTGTATGTTCACACTTGCTCGGCGACCTTGTCCAAGCTGGTTCGCATACGCCTTCAGTAGTTGATGCAGAGATAGGTGTGAGACTTAGCAAAAGCGAAGTACGGGGACTAAGCAAAGCGAAGTACGGGGACTAAGCAAAGCGAAGTACATCACACAAATACGTCAAAGTACACAGAGGAAAAAATTGATTGCAAAATGTTGGTGGGTAGGCACCCCGACCGGTTTCGGCCGTCGCCACATGGCCTCCTCAGGGGGAAACCACCAACTTCATCCTTTCACAAACCTGTCCATCCATCATTCCCTCCTCCGTTGTCGAACGCGCCACCATCTCCGGAGGATAGCGTGTCCCAACACCGTCGGACCCAAAAGAACTACTTCGGGGCAATCATTATTCTTATAGGAATATCCTATTGGTAGCACGCCACACACATACCTGAGACAGGTCCTAACGCTTACGTTGTCAGACTGGTTCCGACACGACAAAGTGTACCCAGGTACTATGGTCCACAAACCCGAAGGACCACGGTAACCTCTGTCCAAGATGCCAAACGGTACACAGCAGCTGGCCTAGATGAGGCTCAATAATGAAAAACAATCCAAGGCGCGACCGCGGGTCTGGTCAGTGCAAGCAGGACCCTGTCCCAAGCAACAAAACAAAACAATCAATCAAAAAAGAAAAAGGGAAAAAAAACAGGAAAAAAAACACAGCAAGACAATCGTAGTCCTGTCCCTTCACACACACTTACTTGCGCCGGGTTTAAAAGCGGCTTTTCCCGTTTTTTTTGTATTTTTTTATTTATTTATTTATTGATTGATTGATTGATTGACTGATTGACTGATTGATTGATTGATTGATTGATTGATTGGTTGGAAATGGGTCGCCCCCTCCACCCCCACCCAATCACACACACAACCACCTTCACACACACACTTACTTACTTGCGCGGGGTTTGAAAGCAGATTTTTTCATTTTTTTTTATTACTTTTTTTTTTTTTTTTTTTTTTTTTTTTTTTTTTTTTGGGTCCGGACATTCTTCCGGGGACCGGTCCGGACTGTCCAGTGTCCGGTGATGTCCGGACCGGTCCAGACACTGGTCCGGAAGACAGTCCAGAAGTGTCTGGTGTCCAGGTCCGGAGTTACCATGTGCCTAATTAATTGCTGGCGTCGCTCGTGACAAGCCTCGGAATCTGACTAAGCGGGCCTCAGGCGTATGCTGTGGGTTCGCTGCTCGGCCTCAGTCCGGGTTCGTCGAACGAACCCCGCGGCCCGGTACTCGCTGTCCTGCTGGCACTCGGAGCACGGGGTTCGAGGCCAGTAGGGTGCGATCGCATGCCATGGGGCCGCTGTTAGGCAGTGAAAAGGCAACACGAGGCGGTAGGGAGGGAAGGCTGTCTCAATGATGACGACACCTGGTTCGGCGATGACGTGGCTCGTGTGTGAATTGGGGAATTGGGAGGGGAAAGGGATCGCCCTTAAGCCCCGTTCGATGTCCCACTCACAGATTCGTTCGTTTCCGGTCCAAAAGGGAAATTCTGGAGGGTTGGGCCTGGGTCGCACGAGGAGGCAGGCGTTTTTCCACTCCTAGTATTCTCCGAACCATCGATGTCTCAGGCTTTCCCAATCTGTGACGTGGAAGGGAGTCCTGCTATCCATGCGGTCAGAAATTGGCAAATTTAGACATGGGTTCGGGCGCGGGTCTTGCAGACACGCGTGTAGGCAGCGCCCTTTTTGGTCACGCTTACTCGTGCGTGCACATGATCATGTTCGCAATCAGTCGGATCGGACTGGCGGGCTGTTCTCCGGGCGGGCAATTATCTGATTAGTCGACATGCTAGCTCGACATGTGACACTTACGCATTTGAGTGCGCGTGTGATAAGCTCAGATCCGTACCGCGCGGCTTGCTGTATCCCTGAGGAAAAATCCCGCGGAAGCCCCGAAGTACAGACGCGGATAGAAAGGGGTTTTTCTTTCTTCTTGCTTTTGTTTTCTTTTTGAAACGGCTTTTTCGTTTTGTTTGGTTAATAACTCCCGCGGGCGAATAGCGGCCGCGGTATGAAAACCAAGAAACGGGTGCGGTTGGGACTTTTTGAATTTTTGTGCGCGCGCCCAAGCTCCGATTTCTTTGCGTGTCTCGCATCCCCGTTTTGAGCAGTGGTGGGGATTGGACGAAGCAGTCGGAGGGACTGAGCAGTGGTGGGGATTGGACGCCGGCCGCGGCAGGGCCTTGTGGCTATGGTGGTCGGTGGTCCTGGGAAGTTTTGAAGGCTGCGCCTGGGGGCAGGAGTTAATTGAAATTTTTGTGTACAAGAAGGACTCACTTTTATCTCAATTGCTCCTTTGTCTATGCATGTCGTATGTGTGAAGCCCTGAGTGATGGGAGCTGGTTATGCGCATGAGTGACGTCGAAGGTCCATGGATGATTAAATGTCCTGTCAAGGGTTGTTGATTGCATGCATGTATNATTGATTGATTGATTGATTGATTGGTGGGGGATGGGTCGCCCCCCCAGCCCCACCCAATCACACACACACACACACACACACACACACACACACAAGGTTGTAGAATAAAATGTTATCTTTTTTTTTTTTTAGTTCTCTATTAAAAAAATAAAAATTGTAAAAATTAGAAAGAAAAAAAATGGGCGAGTAGGGTTTTTCAAACACCACACACCCCATTTTTTTTTTCATCCATTAAAATAAATTAAAAAAAATAAAAAACCAACCCTGACGCCCATTTTTTTTCTTCTGTTCAACGGGGTTCAACGGGATTCAACGGGATGACAATTTTGTTTTGCACCAGGCGCATCCAGTGATGTATCTTAGGCCCAATGCGCCCTCCCCGTTGAACACTATTCAACGGGGAGGGCCCATTGTACCGTTCAACGGGGATTCAACGGGGCCCCGGGGGCTATTCAACGGGTACGATGACGTTGAAACTTTTCCGTTGCATGTTGAATAGACACACAGTTGCAAAATGCTTTCTTGTTACTGTATTTCGAGAGATTTTGAAGTGGGGTGGTGACTTCGTATAGGGTCCGAGGGGGTTCCAAAGAATCAGCCATTTGGGGCACTTGCACTAGAGGTTCCCCTAGGATTATAATCCATGTCCGATGACGATTTTTCTCCGTAAGGACGAAGGTTTTCGTTGTTTTCTCTCGAACTGGGTAGCAAATCAGTTGACGCGCCAGGTCCCAGATCTCTGGGTCCGCCTCGTCCTCGATATCAGAAGAGTTATTTGATAGTTCTGGTTCCTTTCCCCTTTGGTCTGTTTCTTTGAGAGGTTCCCTCCAGGTGATCACACGGAGTGGTTCTCCGTTCCCGGGGAGAGTATTCCGGGTCGTGGGGAGCGTAGTTCGGAGAGTTCGACGCATCGGGATGATGTACGGCTTCCCGCCCGTTCCGAAGGATGATTGGACGCTTTCGAAATCGAGATTGGCTCTTAGTGCGGTGAGGGCCGGTAATCCCAAGAGAATATCGTATGTATTTATGTTTAGTACCACGACATCTCCTAAGGTGTGAACTTTTCCTGATCGAAATGCAACATTTGTCATCTCCTTCTGCTTACGGGATCAGATCCTTTCTTCTTCCTGCTCGTTCTGCAACCCTCAAGGAAATGGGTAGGACCGCGGCTCCTTAGTCGATAATAGCATTGTACGGATTTCCCCTGACTTCTATGTCACATTCCGCGGATTTCCACGGAATGGCCTTAATGAGCAGAAAATGATCGTCTTTTCGGATGAGCCCCAACCGTATCGAGTCCGAAGTGCTCCGGACATCGGGTTTGTCTTCACAAGGAGGACCTATCTTTTTGGAAAGGCCTTGTTTTCAAATTTGTTTTGGAGCGCAGCTAATTCGGCCTTCGCTCTGGCCAATTCCAAAGAGTCTCCTTCCTTCGCGTGGTCTTCTCCTTCTAAGAAGCTAGCGACAAACCTCTTCTCCAATTCTTCCGCCCCGTCCATGATCTATTGCATGGTGTGATTGATGGGGGAAAACTCCTTTCGCAACTTCGCCCTCATCGTTC